GTCATTTGCAACAGAATTTTAACTTTGGAGATCACAGTGAGAACCATTGTGATGTCTCAGGCTGGTTTGTGTCCTTACTGTGATATTTGGTTGATGTAATTTTTTGGATTTATCTTGATTGTCTTCAGGTATTTTTTTTTTAATTACAAGGGAACAAAATCAAGAGAAGGAGCACTTATTAATGACCAGAACGACTTATTTATTATTACTGAGGCAATGTCTGGAAGAATCAATTTATTGTAAATGCTTCCCACAAGTTTGCAGGTTTTAGGCAATTAACAAAAGCCGCTATAGTTCAGACAAAAAGAGCATGCATTGCCTTGCCAATAACTCATTTTGATAAATTTGGCCCAAGTTGCTTGAATTGTGTGAGAAGTGTGAGTTTAAAACTGCGGAGTAGCACAGGAACTATTTCCCATGATTCATGATATGGAAGCTGACACAATATAGCATAAAGGAGGCGGCCAGGGCAATTTGAAGAGAGACAGATGTTTGGGGGTTGGGTTCTTGCTATTTAAACAGGATCCTTTAAATGTTGGGAAAACAAACAGTACATCTTGCAGGAACTAGCATGATATTATTTCTTATTTAAAATACAGAGTTAGGAAGTACTTTCTCAAAATTCCAGGTATAATACAATTGTACAGATTTCTTGGTCCACAGACTTTCTACTAAATTAAGTATAATAAAGGTGGCACTTTTTTTTTTTTTTTTTTTTTAAAGTGGTCCTCATTGCAGACACCAATTCTGGTTTAAAATCTTAGTGAAACGATGTACCCCAAGTTACTCTGCCTTCTTTTTAGTAAGACGACTACTACACTAAGACTCTCAGATGTCTGGGCAAACATATTAGGAAAATGTGGCACCCCCGAAATAATTAAATTTGTTAATATATCTTCTAAGAGTGTGAGAGAACCAAGGTCCTCTTAAATGATACAATTGATAAAAGAATATCAATTATAGGGGAATGTTTGTATGTTTTGTTCTCTTGCAGGGACCTACTAGAAATCAGTGGTTCTCAAACTTTTTAATTTTTTATTTTATTTTTAAAAAATATATTTTATTGATTTTTTTACAGAGAGGAAGGAAGAGGGATAGATAGATAGAAACATTGATGAGAGAGAAACATCAACCAACTGCCTCCTGTACACCCCCTACTGGGGATGTGACCGCAACCAAGGTACATGACCTTGACCGGAATCGAACCTGGGACCCTTCAGTCCGCAGGCTGACGCTCTATCCACTGAGCCAAACCGGTTTCGACGGTTCTCAACCTTTTTAATGCAGCAACCCTTTAATACAGTTCCTCATGTTGTGGTGACCCCAACACATGAGCAACTAATTAAAGGGTTTCGGCATTAAAAAGGTTGAGAACCAACTAGATCATGGGGCAGAATGTTATAATTTGAACACTTGAGGAATGATGCTGAATCCTTCCCTTTTCTTTCCCAACCCTGTTATGATAGGAGGGGACTTGGCTTTATTGTCTTCAAAGCACTTTTATATAAGGATGTATTAGCCTTTAATGAAAATCCAATATATATTGACTAATGGTCAGGAGAGGCTTTTACTCATTAATAATAGAAGGTATTTCCAAGTACTCTACCACATAGATTAATCAATACCATCATCAGAGAAACCCTTCCAAAGCAGAAATGGTATTGTTGTCAGCCAAACTAGTCTTAAGTTTTCGTTTTTTCCTGTTGGTACCCAGTTCTGTATAAATAGAACCACATGCTTATATCTGGTGGTACTGAAGGTTTCAGTTTGTGCGATGCCCCAGTCTACCCTATTTCAATAACTAGCCCATGTTCTTCCTTTCTCATCTAAGGTGGCACCACATCGAAGGCCGATAGAAAGACAGACAGCCTCACCCTGGGAGTTGCCCCTGGACCAGGTGAGAGAAAGAAAGACGTTGCGTGTTACTTCCCTTCTGTCTGTGGTGAAGGAAAGGTTAAGTCAGTGGTGCGCGGTAGCTAAATAGCCATCTTAGATGTGATGAGAGAACATTGAGTTTATTTAATTTGAGGACAAGGGGATGGGAGATGGGGCTATCCAAAGGGAAGGTCTGCCCTAACCGGTTTGGCTCAGTGGCTGAGCGTCAGACTGCAGACTGAAGGGTCCCAGGTTCGATTCCGATCCAGGGCATGTTCCTTGGTTAAGGGCACATCCCCAGTGGGGGATGCGCAGGAAGCAGATGATCAATGTTTCTCATTGGTGTTTCTAACTCTCCCTCTCCCTACCTCTCTGTAAAAAAATAAAAAAAATTTAAAAAAATCAATAAATATATATTAAAAACAAACAAACAAACAAAGGGAAGGGCTACAGAAAGGAAAAGGGGCCCGGATGAGCTGCTGCTGCCCACTGCTCCCCTGGTTGTAATTCTCCTGGGGTCCCTGAGAGGTTCGGAGACATGACAGGTGCTGTGGGGGAAGGGAAGGAGAAGGGATGGGTGGATGGGTGGGCATGCTCCTCGGAGGGCGGCAGGCATCATTAAAATACACTTCTTTGTCCTGAGTGTGGTTCTCTCCTTCCTGCAGGTGGAAACTTTAGAGTCTCCATAGATTAGGGGTGTCGAACTCAATCAGAGAAGGGGCCAAAATCTAAAATCCAGCCTAAATCGCGGGCCGAATGGTTTACTGAACAGTCATAAACTGTCATTGTGATGGAAACGCAGCGGAATGCAGTGATGACAGCGCGGTGCAGGCCACATTGCAAGGCCTGGCGGGACGGATTTGGCCCGTGGGCCTTGTGTTTGACACATGTGCCGTAGATTATTCATCAGCTTTCCAGGCGTGCCCTTTCAGGTCGTGGTCTCCATTGACTGGCCGGGCCCAGGGCAGGTCATTAGTCCATGCAGCTGGTCCCAAGGCAGCCCCAGCACCTCCCACTTGTTGGTTTTTGCTGCTCTTCTGGGTCTGGGGCTGAAATACAGCCGAGGCCTGGGTGTCATCCTTAGGGAGGAAAAGGTCAGGGGCCCAAACTGCATGGCCAGCGATATGCCGTGGGGGAGAGGGGGGATAGGGTGCCCTGATGAGCCTCCGTACCTGGCCCATGGTCCTTGTTTTCGGGGGGCCTAAAATAACGTGACCAGACGTCCCGCTTTTGGCAGGACAGTCAAGATTCTTAGCAATTTGTCCCACCATCTCAGATGTGATGAAAGAACATTGAGTTTATTTAATTTAAGGGGATAGGAGATGGGACTATCCAAAGGGAAGGATAACTTTTTTTTATTATTATTATTGATTTTTTACAGAGAGGGATAGAGATTTTAGAAACATCGATGAGAGAGAAACATTGATCAACTGCCTCCTGCACACCCCCCACTGGGGATGTTCTTGCAACCAAGGTTCATGCCCTTGACCGGAATCGAACCTGGGACCCTTAGTCCATAGGCCAACGCTCTATCCACTGAGCCAAACCGGTTTCGGCTAAGTTCGGGATCTTGATACGAGGTCATCATGGACCCCGGGTGGACCCTACTGTCCGGGGCCTGGGGTCCTAATGAGGAAAGGGCGATGTGATACACAGAGAAAAGCGAGGCCACCTGCAGACTGAGTCAGAGAGTCCAGTGATGTGCCTATGAGCTGAGGACAAAGGTCATCTCAGCGTGAGGAAGGAGCCACGTCATTAAGACAGCGTCACATCCCACACGTGTGTGCCACAGAGAGCTGAGCTTAAAACGCCCGTTTTCAGAAGAGAAAACAACTGCAAGAAGACGACAAATCCACGATTATAGACAGATGTTTCAATCAATACCCCTCTTACGGTAACTGCTGAACAAGTAGATGGAAAAATCCCTAAAGATATAAAAGATTTGAACCACACCATCTGCCTGCATAGCTGGTCCATCTCAACATCCCATACAAGGAGAGCCAAATGCAGATTCTTTCCACATGCTCCCAGGGCATCTGCCTAGATGGAAGGCATTCTGGGCCTTCCCACAGGCCTCATTGCATTTTTAAAAACCAGGCTAGCTGGGACCGGTTTGGCTCAGTGGATAGAGCGTCGGCCTGCGGACTGAAGGGTCCCAGGTTCGATTCCGGTCAATCGGGCACATCCCCAGTGGGGGGTGTGCAAGAGGCAGCTGGTCGATGTTTCTCTTTCATTGACATTTCTAACTCTCTGTCCCTCTCAATTCCTCTCTGTGTAAAATCAATAAAATATATTAAAAAAACAATAATAAAAAAATAAAAACCAGGCTATATGGATTATGCTCTCTGCCCACCATGCCTAGGGGTTTGGGGTTTGGTTCTGTCTTTTTAATTCCCTGCTTAACCTAAAAACCCTGCCTGGGAGAGGAGGAAGAGGACTGTAAGCAAGGCACCTGGTCCCAATCTTTCTAACAAGCCCCCTTACCCCCCCCCCCCCACTTCCCACCGCCCCCTTCCAGCCAGTTTAAACCTTGACACGCCCATCGGGACTCGCACGTGTGGGCCCTTCAATGCTGCCCCTTAAAACCCGCCCCAGCTCACCCAGGGGAGGCGGCCCTGGGCCTCGCCTCGCTGCTCCTGGCACCTAAAGCTCCTCTTTTCCCCCCCAAAGCCCAGCCTGCACCTTAGACCTGGCCTTCCAGCTCGGGGGACCTGGAACCCAGTTGGGGAAGGTGACCTAAGCCCGGGTGAGGCTGTGCAGGTGGAAAAGCCCCCCATTCCCAGCGCAGGGGCGCCGTTTGCTTTGCGGCTGGACCTTTCCTCGCCTCCCCTCCCGGGTGCACGTTAGCGAGTCTGCCTTCCCCTCCAAGTGCAGGAGCCCTGGGGGCCCTGCTCCCCGCGCTGCAAAGCCTCCCGGCGGCGGGGGAAGAGGGGGAGCCCCGGGGGAGCGGAGCAGCGGCCAGGAATCCTCCCGGGAGGAGGACTTGGCCCCGCGGCCCGCCCAGCTCCGCCCCGTCTCTCCTTCCAGCCCTCGTGCCTGCGGCGGCGGCGGCGCTGCGCGCGGAGGAAGTTTGTCCCCAGCGGCGCCCCCTCCTCCCGCGGCGGCGGCGGCGTCCGCGTCCCTGGCGGCGGCGGCGGCGGCGGCAGCCCAGCGCCCCGACCAGGCCCCGGCGGCCCAGAGGCCGCGAGGCTTGAGGCCGGGCCGCCGGCGCCCGGGGGAGGCGGGCGAGGCCGGGGCCCTGCAGCCGCCGCCAGGCCCCGCGCGGGGAGGAGCGGCCCGACATGGCGGGCGGGCCCTGCGGCGGCGGCCCCGCGGCGGCCGGCGGCGGCGAGATCGTGCAGCTCAACGTCGGCGGCACCAGGTGGGGGGGGCGCCCGGTGGGTGGGTGGGGTGCCCGGTGGGTGGGTGGGGGGGTGCCCGGTGGGGGGGTAGAGTGCCCGGTGGGGGGGGGTGGGGGTGGGCTCCCGGTGGGTGGGGGTGTCTGGGGGGTGGGGTGCCCGGTGGGGGGTGGGGGTACCCGGGGGTAGGGGGTCGCCCGGTGGGGGTGGGTGGGGTCCCCGGTGGGTGGGGGGCGCCCGGTGGGTGGGGACGCCCGGGGTGGGGTGCCCGGTGGGGGGTGGGGGTGCCCTGTGGGTGGGGGGCGCCCGGTGGGGGTGGGTGGGGGTGCCCGGTGGGTGGGGGGCGGCCCGGCGGGGAGGCTTCCTCGGGGGCGGGGAGTGAGGGGCGCGGGCCCGCGGGGCCTCCTGGCGGGGCGGCGGGCGGGTCTGGACCCGGTGACACAGGGACTGGACGGGCTGTGGGGCCCCCCGGAATGCTGCTGCTACCCTGGCATGCCCCCCTTCGGGTCCCCTTCTGCTCCTCCTGCCCTCCCCGGCCCCCCCAGTCCCTGTCCTCCCTATCCCCCTCCCCCTCCTGCTCCCTGCCTTCCTCCTCCTCCTCTACCCTGCAGCCCTCCCTGCCCCTCCTGTCCCCCTCTGTCCCCTCCTCTCCTGCTCCCCCTCTGTCCCTCTCTACCCTCTCCCCCTCCTGCTCCCTCCTCTCCTGCCCCCCTCTGTCTCTATCCTCCTCCTCCTTCTCTACCCTCCTGCTCCCCCCTCTTGCCCCCCTGCCCCCTCCTGCCCCCTCCTAAGGCCCTGGCCTCAGCCTGTCCTGGAGCCTGGCTGAGGCTTGGCTGCTGCAGGTGAGCCAGCCTCCCTCCCTGGGCCCGGTCCTCCTTCTGGGAGAGGCCCTGTGCTCCCTGCCGCCCGGTGAGGGCCGCTGGGCGCAGGCCTGGGTGCAGGCCATGCACATCTGCAGGCCCTTGTTGTTGCTCTTTTCTCGGCGCTGGCTCTGCGGGGTGCGTGACTTGCAGGGCAGTGTGTCCAGAAACCTCCCTTTGCAGAGTTGGCACCCGATGTGGGGTGTGGGGTGTGGGGCGCCCTCATGGCAAACAGAGGCACAGCTGTGCCCTGTCTCTGGCCGGCTGCTCCCCTCTGCCTTTTACTGAGCTTGTTGGGGGAAAACATCCCATTTTTCGGTGTGAATTGGTCATGGCTTATGAGTCAGTGCTCAGAAATGGGCATCTGCCAACTGTTGAAGGCGCCAGGAGCTTTAGGGCTGGCGGAGTGTGTGGGAATGTGGTGTGTTTTGCCGCGCTGGAATATCTAAGACTTTTAAATAACGTTTTTTTAAATGCAAGATGGAAACTGTAAGCCATAGTGGTCAGAATGTACAGTGTTTTGAAGCTAAACATTTGATCGGTTTTTTAAGTGCACTAGAGAATTTAGCACAAGAAACAGGTCTTCATTTGTTCTCTGCTCTCTACCCCTTTCCCCCCCCAAACTCCAAAAAAAAAAAAAAAAAAAAAAAAAAACCACACCAAAAAACTGTTTCGTAGCTAAGAAATTATCACATTGTCAGGCTATATAGATCCCAGTCCTAAGGAAAGATTTGCCCGCCAGTGTAAGAAATGGATACTTTGCTAAAATTGGTGAACATTGTGCAGGTTGGGAAACAGCCATGCACTCTGCAGCATTTCAGAGCGAGGAGGGATCTGGAAGTCGCCCGTCTCTTGTGCAAAACACAGGTTAGCACCCTCACGTAAGTCATGCACGGGCAAAGGAAAACCCCACTGCGACTGTCCCCCCACTGTGATCGTCCTAAAGTGGAGACTGAGACTGGCACAGAGTTGGCTCTGGAGCTGGGGTAGAGCTCAGAAGCAGGTGCCACCGGAAAGGCCTGATTTACTTGTTAACTTCAAGATAAACGCAATGAAATGATGGAAAGGACTGATTTTCAAATGATGAATTTAACTTTGGGGGTGATTTGGAAAGAGAAGACGAGATTTCATTTAGCATGGTTATTATTTTAAGAAACACACAAAAAATCTAATAAATTGAAAGAAACCCAGTGTGACTCAATTTGTGATGAATTCCATTAGAATGAGGAGGGCCGGAGGCCGCCTGGGGGCGGTCTGGGCTGGCCACTTGGGGATGGATGGTCAGAGAGCTTTGGGGTGACAGTGGGGTTCCAGTGCCCAGGCCTCATCTCTTAATTCGCCCAGCAGATTACCTTTGGACCCCTAAAATGTAAGGTGATTATACTAGTGCCCACCTCACGGGATCGCTAAAGAAATGTGAAGTATTAAACTGGAAACGAAGGGTTATTGGCCTTGCCAATAGTAACATCGCAGATGAAATCATTTGTAGGTTGTGTCCAGTTTAATTTAGTGGGAGGCAAGTAGCACTCGTATAAATGGACATGCTAATACCTTTAGTAATACTTTTGTTGGGACCGGATTGCACGCGACCCCTGCTTGGAAAGCACTTCCATGTATGTTGCAGAGAGATGAGCTTGTCATGTAATTTAAGTGTCCTAGTTTTCATGCAGTCATATTTGGAACCAGCTTTAGAGCTATGTGGGTTTTTCTCCCTCCTAACTCTTGTTTAGTAAAAAAACACACACACACACATTTTTTAAAAACATGAATATGACAATCGCAATAGCCTACGACTGCAAATAAAGTGTTAACTGCATAATGTACAAGGGGGTACTGTGAGCTCAAATGATAAAGGGGGGAGGGTCCCTTCTCTTTGTCCAGAAATTCCGGCTTTCTAAACCCACCCCAGCCTGCTGATTTGAAGTGCAATTGTGAATATGCCTTTAAGCAGACCCGTGCGATTTTCTAAGTGACCCAGAATTTGAGTTAGTTGGCAGGCATTTAGCTGAGTGAGCAGCAGTGAATGAGAAAGGTCACGGACCCTCATGTGGGATTGATTTGAGGGCCTTCAAAACAGAGTGGCTTGTTGGTGCTGAGGACCCGTGTACTGTTGACTGGGTTTGCTTTTATTTATTTGACCAAGTCAGTTTCCTGTGACTAGCAGGAGTATGCTTCTCCTTGTTTCCTAAGAGTCTGCTAAGGAAATGTGGGAACTTTTGCCGCGTTTTCTTGAATAAACCGATTGGTTCCTTCCTTAGATCTGAGCGGGCACAGGAGCGGCTTTAAAGGTTCTGTAAGGCTGGCAGGTGCTGCAGGACGACAGCGGAGGTCTCTGTGTGAGGGCACGGGATGATGTGGGCAGAGAGAGAAAAAGCGCATGTGTCGTTCGTTGTGATGAGTTTTAAAATGAAAAGACTCAGGTAATGGGGCTGGGCTGGATGAGCCCTCGATTCTCTCTTGGTTATGAGTCTTGACATCAGTTCCTGATCTTCCAGGCTGTGCTGGAGTAAAGTCCCCTTTATCGGTGGTAATAAACAGCTCGGTCAAATGTCAGTTAATCTCAAAACAATGATATATTTACGGAGTGATTTTTTATAAAACATGAATATGACAATTGCAAAAGCCTACGACTGCAAATAAAGTGTTAACTGCATAATGTACAAGGGGGTACTGTGAGCTCAAATGATAACGTAGGATAGACCAGTGGTTGGCAAACTGCGGCTCGAGAGCCGAGGTTTGCTATCTTTTAACTAATGAGTTTGCCGATCATTGGATAGGGGCTAAATCACAAGGAACAACAGCAGCCTGTAATTACTGGAATCGAGATAGACTATTTGGAAATCCATTAAAGAGAAGGTAAAATTTTAAGGGTATTAAGAAAGATGGATGTACCACGAGCTAATAAAGCCAAACAAAATGTTTTTAGGAGAAAAAAAGAAGAAAAGATAGATGGGACTTGGGTTATTGGGCATGACAAGGGCTATCAAGCTGGGATAAATTAAAAAAAAAACAACACTGAAATGGTAGTGGGCATGAATTTTGGTGTATTGAGGACTCTATTAGAGGGGAACACATTTGTGTTGGAGAGAGCTGGAGATAATTTTGAGTGCTATGTTGAAGTTAGACTGTTGATTCTTCAGCAGATGGGCATGCTGGGAAGTCTTGTTTAGGGAAGCATTGTCAGCTGTTAGATCTTATGAAGAGCTTTTTGAATGATCTTAATTCTGAATTGAAATAAATATTAAAATAGTAAGAGTGACGAATGTAATTGTTTTGGCTATAGCCTTGCAACAATGTGTAAACCATTGGCTAGCATATTAGAGCAAGTTAACTAATACTGGATTTCAAATTGTGTGCTCATTTGTAATACCAGATAACTTTCAATTGCAGATTTAGTACCTCAAAACAGACTCTTATGTGGATTCCAGATTCCTTTTTTTCCAGGTATTTCAAATAATTTTTCATTACTGTTCTTAATATACTTAATATTTATCAAAATAGTAAGAATTTTCTTTCTTTTTTTTAAGTAGAGATTAATTTCCTTAATGTTTTTTAAAATATTTATTTATTTTTTTACTAATAAATCTTTATTGTTCAGATTATTACAGTTGCTCCTCTTCTCCCCCCACCATAGCTCCCCTCCACCCAGTTCCCACTTTCCTTCCCCCCCCCCACTGTCCTCATCCATAGGTGTACAGTTTTTGTCCAGTCTCTTCCCACACCCCCCACACCTCTTTCCCCTGAGAATTGTCAGTCTTCTTCCTTTCTATGCCTTTGATTCTATTATATTCACCAGTTTATTCTGTTCATCAGACTTTTTATTGACTTGATTTTTAGATTCATATTGATAGATACGTAATTGTTGTCACTTTGTTGTTCATAGTTTTTGTCTTTACCTTTTTCTTCTTCTTCCTCTTCTTAAAGAATACTACCCTTCAGCATTTCATATAATACTGGTTTGGCGGTGATGAACTCCTTTAGCTTTTTCTTATCTGTGAAGCTTTTTATCTGACCTTCAATTCTAAATGATAGCTTTGTTGGGTAGAGTAATCTTGGTTGTAAGTTCTTGCTATTCAGTACTTTTGAATATTTCTTGCTGCTCCCTGCTGGATATCTATATATTCTTTATTTCAGTCAGTGTATGCTTAATTTCTAGTTGGTCCTTTTTCATATCCTCGAGGGTCTTACCAAATTTATTGACGGTTTTTGGAAGTTTCTTGAGTAACCTTATAACTGTGGTTTTGAACTCTATATCCAGTCGTTTGCTTTCCTCCATTTTTTTCATTTTTTCGTCTCTGCATTTTGGCTGCTTCCCTGTGTTGATAGCATGGCTTTGTGTGCTAGGTGTCCTGTAGGGCCCAGTGGCTCAGCCTCTCTAATTACCTGAAGTGGACTCCTTTGTGGGCCGGTGCACAGTTTTATTGTATTAAGCCTTGATTATTGTTATCACTGGGAGGAATTGACCTCTAGGCCAATTGGCTGTGAGGATCAGTTGTGTCTATGATGGGAGAACTTCTGGGCTGGAGACATCCTTATGGAGCAAGACTTGCTTCATTGGGGCTTTGGCACTGGCTTACACTGTCCGCTAAGTGTGTGTCTTATGGATCTGAAGAGTTGTAGTCTGGATGGTCTCTCAGACCACTGGGTACATTGGCTCTTGGATCTCTAAGGAGAGAGACCACCAGCAGGAGCTACAGAGAGATCTCTTTGGGTTTGGAGGTGCCCAGATTGGGCCCAGCTGTGAAGTGAGGCAAGCTTCTGTGGGGCCTTGGGCCTTCTTTTGGAGGCTCTGGGCCTCTCTGACCCAGCTGCAGTTTGTTAAGTAATTTTATTTTATTTTTCATTTTTTAAATTTTTTTTATTAAGGTATTGTATGTGTACATATCTTACCATTGGCCCCCTCCCCTACTCCCACACATGTCCTCACCCCCCAGAGTTTTGTGTTCATTGGTTATGCTTACATGCATGCATACAAGTCCTTTGGTTGATCTCGTATCTCCCCCATATCTCCCTACCCTTCCCTCTGTAATTTGACTGTTGCTTTACTATCTCTGTATCTAAAAGTCCATCAGTTTATAATGTTCTTTATTATCCATAAATGAGTGAGATCATGTGTTGAGATCATTGACTAGCTTATTTCACTCAGCACAATGTTCTCCAATTCCATCCAGGTTGCTGCAAATGGTAAGAATTCCTTCTTTTATATGGCAGCATAGTATTCCATTGTGTAGATGTACCATAGTTTTCTGATACAATCATCTGCTGATGGGCACCTAGGCTGTTTCCAAATCTTAGGTATTTAGGTTGTGCTGCTATGAACATAGGGGTGCATATATCCTTTCTGATTGGTGTTTCTAGTTTCTTGGGATATATTCCTAGGAGTGGGATTACTGGGTCAAATGGGAGTTCCATTTTCAGTTTTTTGAGGAAATTCCATATTGTTCTCTATAGTGGCTGCAGCAGTCTGCATTCCCACCAGCAGCGCACTAGGGTTCCTTTTTCTCTGCATCCTCGCCAATACTTGTCATTTGTTGATTTGTTGATGATAGCCATTCTGACTGGTGTAAGATGGTACCACAATATGGTTTTGATTTGCATCTCTCGGATAATTAGTGACTTTCAGCATGTTTTCATGTGTCTCTTGGCCTTCCTTCTGTCTTTTGAAAAGATTCTATTTAGGTCCATTGCCCATTTTTTAATTGAATCATTTATCTTCCTTTTATTAGGTTGTATAAGCTGTCTATAGATGTTGGAGATTAAACCTTTATCAGTGATAACATTTGCAAATATGTTCTCCCATACAGTTGGCTCGCCTGTTGTTTTGTTGATAATTTCTTTTGCTGTGCAAAAGCTTTTTATTTTGACATAGTCCCATTTGTTTATTTTCTCTTTAGCTTACATTGCCCTAGGGGCAGTATCAGTGAAGTTCTTTCAGCATATGTCTTGAGATTTTGCTGCCTGTGGATGCCTCTAGTATGTTTATGGTTTCCCTTCTTATGTTTAAGTCCTGTATCCATTTTGAGTTTATTTTTGTGTATGGTGTAAGTTGGTGATCTAGTTTCATTTTTTGGCATGTATCTGCATCTGCAAATTTTCCCAACACCATTTATTGAAGAGACTGTCTTGACTCCATTGTATGTTCATGCCTCCTTTGTCAAATATTAATTGAGTATAGTGGTTTGGTTCGATATCCAGATTCTCTATTCCATTGATCTATATGTCTGTTCTTATGCCAGTACCAGGCTGTTTTGAGAACAGTGGCTTTCTAATATATTGTAGCTTGAAATCTGGTAATTGAGATCCCTCCTACTTTATTCTTCTTTCTCAGGATTGCTGTGGCTATCCGGGGTCTTTTTTCTATTCTAGATGAATATTTGGAGAGTTCTTTCTAAGTCTGTGAAATATGCCGTTGGTATTTTAATGGGGAATGCATTGAACCTATAGATTGCTTTGGGTAGTATGGACATTTTAATAATGTTGAGTCTACCAATCCACAAACATAGTATGTTCTTCGACCTGTTTACATCTTCCTCTCTTTTTTCAGTGTCCTGTAATTTTCCGAGTATAGGTCTTTTACTTCCTTAGTTAAGTTTATTTTTAGGTATCTTAATTTTCTTGGTGTGATAGTGAATGGGATTGCTTTTTTCGTCTGTTTCTGTAAGTTCACTATTGGTGTAGAGAAAGGCCATCGATTTCTTGGTGTTAATTTTGTATCCTGCTACATTGCTGAATTCATTTATTAAGTCTATTAGTTTTTTTGATGGAGTCTTTTGGGTTTTTTATGTACAATATCATGTCATCTGCATATAAGGACAACTTCTTTTCTTGTCTAATTGCAATGGCTAATATTTTCAGTACTGTGTCAAACAGAATGGTGAGTGGGCATCCCTGTCTTGTTTCTGTTCTTAGGGGAAATGGTTTTAGTTTTTGCTCATTGAGTATGATGTTTGCTGTGGGTTTATCATATATAGCTTTTATTATGTTGAGGTATGATCCTTCTATTCTCACCTTGTTGAGAGTTTTTATCAGGAAAGGGTGTTGGATTTTATCAAATGCTTTTTCTGCATCAATTGATATGACTATGTGATTTTTATCTCAATTTGTTTATGTGATGTATCACGTTTATTGATTTGCGGATATTGTACCATTCTTGCATTCCTGGGATAAATCCTACTTGTTTATGGTCCTACTTGTTTATGGTGTATGATCTTTCTGATGTATTGCTGGAGCTGTTTTGCTAGAATTTTGTTGAGGATTTTGGCATCTATGTTCATGAGGAATATTGGCCTCTAATTCTCTTTCATTGTGTTGTCTTTATCTGGTTTTGGTATTATCCTGCTACATTGCTGAATTCATTTATTAAGGGTGATGCTGGCTTCATAGAATGAGCTTGGAAGTGTTCCTTCCTTTTGATTTTTTTTGGAATAGTCTGAGGACTATAGGTTTTAGTTCTTCCATAGATTTTGGATTGTTGTGTTTTCTTATCCAATCAATTACCCTGTGTCTTTTGACTGGAGCATTTAATCCATTTACATTTAAAGTTATTACTGATAGGTACTTATTTGTTGCCATTTTTATTCTATACCCCTGTATTCCTTCTTCCCTTCCTATTTCTTTTTCTTTTTTCTTTATTTTCTTTCTTTCTTTATTTGTTTGTTTGTTTATTTTTTGCAGCAGACCCTTTAGCATTTCTTGCATTGCTGTTTTGGCAGTGTTAAATTCCCTAAGTCTTTTTTTTTTTTTGTCTGTGAAGCTCCTGATTTCACCTTCAACTTTGATTGATAGATAGCCTTGCTGGGTACAGTATTCTTGGATTCAGACCTTTCCTTTGCATGACTTTGTATATTTCATTCCATTCCCTTCTGGCCTGATGAGTTTCTATTGAGAAATCTGTTGCTAGTGTGATGGGAGCTACTTTGTATGTAACTTTCTGTCTCTCTTTGGCTGCTTTTAAGATTCTTATTTTGTTGGTGGTGTTTGCCAATTTAATTACAATGTGCTTTGGCGTCAGTCTTTTGGGGTTCATTTTGGTTGGGACTCTGTAAGCTTCTTGGATTTGTGTGGGGTTTTTTCTTCCCTATATCAGGAAAGTTTTCTGTCATTATTTCTTCAAACAGGTTTTCTATTTCTTGGTCAGTTTCCTTTCCTTCTGGGTCCCCTATTATGCGAATATTGTTTTGTTTTGTATTGTCCCAAAGTTCCCCTAGGCTCTCCTGCTGCTTTTTAATTTTTTTTTTTTCTAGAAGCTGCTTTAATTGGGTATTTTTTCCCCATATTGTCTTCTAGCTCATTGATGCGGTCCTCTGCTTCTTCTAGTCTACTCTTGATGCTTTCTATTGAGTTCTTTACAGTAGCAATGTCATTTTTCATTTATTTTTGTTTCTTCTTCATTTACTTTTGGTTCTTACTCATATTGTCAAATTTGTCTTCCATTCTTTCCAGCCACCTTATGACCATTTCTCTGAATTCTTGTTCTGATAGGTTGCTTGTCTCTAATTCGTTTACTTCCTTTTCTGGTGATGCCTGCTTTTCTTTCATAATTGGGCTGTTTCTTTGTCTCCCCTTGGTCTCCCTTCTCACGATGTCTGGTTGTGTAGTTATCTCCTTATCCCCAGTGAAATCTGACCTTTCCATGGTGGAGTGAAGAGCTCCCTTGAATCCGTGTGTTTGTGCCAATTGGGGACGCACAGCTGTTCAGTGATTGCCACATTTGTGGGTTTCCAGGTGTTGGATAAGATCCACTTTCCCTTGCAAGATGGCGCAGTTTTCCGCCTGAGCCCGTAGCTCTGGTAGAGGTCTCAGCCACAGCACAAGCTATTCGGTCAGGGAACCCCGCCTAGCAGTCCCCCACCTTCACTTAGAGTTTTGCTATCCCTTAGCTTGCCAACAAACACTCCCCGAGTGACCCTCAGCTGCTCCTTCTATCTGCTCCAGGACAAGGCTCAGAATACATCTGTCTATTCTGCCACCATTTTCCCCTCCAGTCTGAATTTATGTTTAAACTTTGGTCTGCAATTTGAGGGGAAACAACAACAAAAAACTTCACAAAACTGTTTCTTCACCAGTAAGCTCAGTTGTAGCTGATCTTTTTCCTGCTCTAAGCTGTTTAAGAGCTTTTTTTGTTGTGGTCACAGTTTCCGTAGGTCAGGAGTCCAGGTGTGGGGTAGTGAGATCCTCTGGCCCAGAGTCTCTCAGGAGGCTGCAGCACGGTGTTGGCCAGGGCTGTGGTTATCTCAGGACTCCAGGAGGGATGGACCCACTTCCAGTCCCGCTCAGGTGGCTGTTGGTGGGCTTTAGGCCCCCACAGGCTGTAGATCAGAGATATCTGCCTTTGTTAGGTAATTTTAGGTTGCAAAGGGGCAGGTGATTTATGTGCAAAAGCCTCTGCACACAAATTGGGAGGGGCGGGGTCTCAGGGAATCCCCAGGGTGGAGCAAACAGCAATTGCTGACCTTCAGCCCTGCCTGGAAGAGGTCCTATGTCTGTGTCCCACAGCACCGTGCACGAACAACGATCACTGCAAGAACCTGAGAAGAAAGCCGCCCTCGAGTTACGCTCGATGCCAGACATTCCAGTTTCTCCCCCACTGGAGTTCAGAGCAGTCCGGAGCTTGTGTCTCCCTCCCGATTGAAAAGACAGCCTCATACTCAGTTGCCAGCCCTTTTCACATGTGCCTGCCTACCTCTGCACTTCACTTCACACCCACTCTGAGTCTCTTTCCTTCTAGTTGTAGAATTTCCTTTTCTTTCCTTCTAATAGTTGAACTTCCACTCAGCCAGCCTTCCCGTGGTTCTGGATGATACCTGTTTTGTCTTTTAGTTATAGTTTTGAAGTGGTTGTGCGAGGCAGCAAGTTCAGGTGTTAACCTATGCTGCCATCTTGGTTTCGCCTCATAACAATTTTCTTAATATTCTTTTCTGAAATAAAAATTCTTAACTTTTAAAATATATTTTTTTCTTTTTTCATTTGAATAGTTTCCGTAACTGCAAAAAATATTTTTTTGTTTGTTTTTATTTTGCGTTGAAGATAAGATGGCTCATTAACACTTGATAAAGAATTAAGACATTTATTCATACTCAGATTTTAAAAACTAACTAGCTTATTGTTGTGACTTCTAGCTTGCTGAGCGGGAGAATTTCAACACTTAGAGATGAAACTGGTGCTGTAAGTATAATATGCAGTGTATCCAAAATAAATTAATCTTATGTTTGATCCTTATTGTATAGTGGCTCTTAGAAAGCTAATATGTTAATAAGCACTAAATGAAAGTGACATGTATCTACTTAAAGTTTCTTATTTTTTTTGTCATGTGTAGAGTGTTTATCCATATGTATAGAACTCTAAATAGTTTATACTACATACATATAGCAATTCATTGTTCATGATTAGAGAGATTGTAGGATATGAGTTTACATTGTCAATAGAGTACTTTTAATCAGTAATTAAAACTTTTACAGTAAATAGAGTGAAGTAAATATTTTGATACTGAATTAGAATGGTGTAAGTTGTAAATAGCTAAGTTCTATAATTTTGATTTTTATTTTGGAGAATAACCTTATGAACTTGTACAGCAATGGTGGAATGAGGGAAGTAAAGAACTATTACGTTTCAGTACAAAAGAAGTGGGTTTATGAACTAACAAAGCAGTGAGACTGTACAACAGCATGTACAGTAAAAAGCAGAAGGGCTTTCTGTTTGAGTGCAGCCGTGTGGCCACAGGTGTCTGTCTGCTTTGGTGATATTTGCAGGTGAAATAATGCCGTGAAAGCAGGATTATTAAGGTTATAAGAAAAATATCAGTAATAAGATCTCTACAAATCTGTTGTGTTTCTTCAACTTCTCATGGGTTCTAATAGAAGAAAAGCAAAAGTATGTGAAGGTAGAAGAACTTCATTCATTGATATGCAGAATTGACCATGGAAAAGAGTTTTGTTTGTTACCATTCCCCTCATTAACTTACATAAGCTTTAAAAGATGTTCAGTTTTCTGGTTAGAGGTTTTGTTATTGATTCAAAATAGTGTTGGTACATACACCTGTGGAGTTATCAATAATGTATTTCATACAAGTTCATTATTTCAACGTTTTCCATGTAAGTCGCAAGTTACATAAGTCATAATCACTGTCACCAGTAATTAATATAAGAAAGTATTATTTATGTTTAATATTTTCAAAGTATTCATTGGATTCTAGAATACTTCAGGTTAAAATGTTCTCTCGGGTGTTAATTTTTACCAAAAATCTCAAAGTAAATGAGAGAACTGGCTTATTAGATACCACTTTCCTACATATTAAAATACATAATCTAACAATGGCTTTTTTGGAGGAGGAAAGACACTGCCATATTAAATGTATTCCAGTTAAATATAGTACTTCAGTAGTTCGGTCTTTGTTCCCTAAGTTAGACCTATAGACATTGAAGTTAGAAGTTGCAGTTATACTTGGAACATCATTTCAGATGTTTATTAAAACAGTTCATCATTTGCAGATATTTATTGATAGAGATCCGGCAGCATTCGCACCCATTTTAAATTTTCTTCGGACAAAAGAATTAGACTTAAGGTAAGAAGTGCATCCTTTTAAATTCTGATCTGGTTACCACACTCCTGAAAATGCCTGTTGTATGTTACTGGGTTTGTGGTTAAGGATTTTGGCATTTTGTACTGTTTCTTAAAGCTCTCTCTAACCCCTGCTTAATTTCTCCTGCTTTAACACTTGCAACCTTTCATCCTGACTTCTTCCCTGGCCTCTGTCGTATCCACCTAATACAGGTAATCATAGCAATCATACACTTTCTCTGGAGTCTGTCTTCCACTAGACTTAAATTCTGAAAAGGTGAGCACTGCTCACTCTATATCCCAGGTTCTAGTTATTTGATGTGTAGTTATAAGTTCAGAGTTTCAGTACGTGTGGGAGAGGAGATTGTGGATAAATGAAGGATCATTTAAACTATTTTAACTTTGCCAGGGTCAGGATTCTTACCAGGGAGCTACTATTGTATTTCATTTGTATTTACTGTTCTTCTATTTCCTAAACTAGAGGCCAGGTGCACGAAATTCACGCATGAGGTTGTGGGGAGGGGCTGTCCCTCAGCCCAGCCTGCACCCTCTCCAGTCTGGGATCCCTCTCACAATCCAGAACTGCTGGTTCCCACCTGCTCTCCTGCCTCTGCCTGATTGACCCTAACTGCTTCTGCCTGCCAGCCTGATCACCCACTAACCACTTCCCTCCCAGCCTGATCGATGCCTAACTGCTCCCCAGCCAGCCCAAAAGCCCCTAACTGCCCTGCTCTGCTGGTCTGGTCACCCCTAACTGCCCTCTCCTGCTGGCCTGGTCACTCTAACTGCCCTGCTCTGCTCGCCTGGTCCCTCCCTAACTGCCCTCCCCTGCTGGCCTTGTTCCCCTAACTGCTCTCCCTGCAGGCCTGGTTTCCACCCCCCGCCCCCTCCCGCCCCAACTGCCCTCTTCTGCCAGCTGGTCATCCCTGACTGCCCTCCCTGCTGGCCTGGTCTACCCCCCCCCCCCCCCCCGCAACTGCCATCCCCTGTAGGCCTAGTCCCTCCCAACTACCCTCCCCTGCAGGCCTGGTTCTCCCCAAGTGCCCTCCCCTGCTGACCTGGCCCCCCTCAGCTGCCCTCCTCTTCTGGTCTGCTCACTCCTAACTGCCCACAACTGCTTTCCCCTGCAGGCCATCTTGTATCTTGGAATAATGGTCAATTTGCATATTACCTCTTTTATTAGATAGGATTCTTAGTGAACGATCAGTAAGAATGTATTAATATTTTATAGTTACAGCTTTTAAAATCCCAGCTGTTTGCTTGAGCTGCTTTATATTATCTGATTTTGCTTACATTCACTAGAGAGCTCCTTGAAGGCAAGGACTGCTCTCTGGTTGGCTCCTGCTGGGCTCCCAGTGTTAAAGCTGCTCAGTAAACACTTATGGAATGAATAAAAGAAATTGTTGGGTCTGTTTGTTTGGTGCTTGGCCTGGCATTGGGTGGAAGTGGGAAGTATATTACTAAGAACTTATTTCTTTAGAAAAGTAAAATTAGTTTGACCCATAGTACTTGATTGATTAAAGAAGCCTAACCTTATTGCTAGTCAGTGTCCTGGTGACTACTCCACAACCAGATAACCCATGAGAGAGAGAATTGGCTTAAATATCTGTATTACCCACTGCTTTCCTGTAAATTAATGGCTTTTTTATTTTCATACTACTGGACGGTAACATCATCATCCGGCTGCCTTTCTTTCCCTACTTTCTATTTTGCTTGTGTGTGTTTTTTTTTTTGTTTCTGATGAGGTCATTTATCTGAATTTATTCATTCGATGGATAGTTATTACATAATAGTTATGTACAAGTGCTGTGCTGGGTGTGTGCAAGGCACACGAAAATAGATTCAAAATAGATCCTGCCTAGGGAGCTTACCGTATAATCGGGGAGGTTAAGTAGGTATAGAAATGATTGTCATAAAAAGTTACAGTCCATTAGTGCCATCCAAGAAGGATGCGGTACTTGGTATGAGAATGTTTTTGTTGGGTGTGCAGTTTTTTTTATTTAGACTTTTTCAAATCCTGAAGGATATTAGAAGAAAGGAAGCTGAAAAGCCTTGTGGGTCTGTTCACACTAAGCACCTACGGCTTTCCCTTTTGCTTCAGATGCTAATCCGAGTTGCCCGGTCGGAGGACTCATGTCCTTTGTTTCTTTGTAGGGGCGTGAGTATTAACGTTCTCCGGCACGAAGCTGAGTTTTACGGAATCACCCCGCTGGGTATGTGTTCCAGTGTTCCTCCTTGTGACTTGACCCTTTGTGCCCAAAATGCAGTGTGTCTTATGCCTAGTTGGACAGCGGAGAGCCGCCCTGTCTTCTGCCTCTGACCCTGTGCTCTGCCTTCCAGTGAGGAGGCTCCTGCTGTGCGAGGAGCTGGAGCGCTCGTCCTGCGGCAGTGTCCTGTTCCACGGGTACCTGCCCCCCCCAGGTACTGCTCTGCTCGGGCCTTCAGAGGGCTGGGTCCCACGAAGCAGGTGTAGTCACACACGTGTCTAAACGGGGAGGAGGAGGATCTGTCTTTTGATTCTTTCTTACCTATGAATCTGCTGGAAACGGCGAGAACTCGAATTGTGATAGAAGTTAAGTCAGCACACGTTCAGGCAGGTAGGTGCCAGGGTGTGTTGGTTCTGGCCACACAGGCTTGATGGCCACCACTTGGCTCTATGGACGTGACCCATGACCGCCGCGTACAACCTCATTTGTATAAACAGCCACCAGCGGCCTGGGCCGGCCCCCTCTTCTGCCCACCCCGATGCTAGGTCCCTGGCAGCCAGTCTCCTTTAGAGCCCGGGAGGCCTGCACAGGGGTGTCAGGTGCAAGACGGGCAGGTGTGCTGCACGTCCCTCCACCCCCTTCAGGTAGGAGAGTTCTGCCTCTGGCCGGTTCCTTCCAGTCGGCTCCCTCCCGAATAGAGACGGTGAACGACGGGCAGTCAGCTCCAGAGCAGCTTGAAGCTGTGCGTGGGACCTCGTACCCAGTAACTGCATTGGAAACACTGGGGTAGACTGAGTTAGTGCTGGATTCCACTACCCTAGAGCTAGAGAGCAGTGTACTGTGATAAAGCTCTTAGTCTCATTTCTACATACCATCTGTTGAAAGTTTTATTTTTTTTAATGGTGCTTATATTGTAATACATTGCTGTATCGGAAGATATATGTTGACTATAATGAACTACATGTTTTTACGTCTGGCATAATGCGAAATTTTAAATTGTTTCAGGTGAACTTAGAAGTAAATAACCTTCCTTCCTCTCGTAGGTATTCCTAGTCGTAAAATAAACAACACAGCCCGGTCCTCTGCCGACGCCAGGAGTGGGCTGGCCTCTGCGGAAGGGGAGGCCCGGGGCGGTGGCGCCCAGCCCGTCCTCTCCGCCTCTAGCGAGGAAACTGCCCGGCTGGGTAAGCATGACGACGCAGATAGACAGAGACCATGCACGTGCTTATTCTAGCTGATACATACTGAGGATTTACAAACATTTATACAGGTGTACTTTTTGCCTTGCCTCGCTTTTTAATTCAGATTTATCATTTGTATCTTAAACTGTAATTTAGCATATAGTTCTTGTATAAAAAGGATCTGAGTCCTGTTTGCTCAAAGTCTGTAGTCCAGAGGTTGACAGACTTTGTATGTGAAGGGCCAGATAGTAGATATCTCGGGGGTTCTGGCCTCCCGGGCTCTGTTGGAGCCACGGCTCTGCCGGGGTGGCATGGAGGAGCCACAGGTGATGTGTAAACATGCGTGCACGGCTGAGCTCCCCCAGAACTGTCAGGACAGGCGGAGGACTGGACGGGGCGGGGGAGCAGAGGGGGCGGCCTGTGCTGCAGCTAGAATGTTTCCTTTCCTCCATCAGCAGGATTTCCCGTGGACCCACGCAAGGTGCTGATCGTGGCTGGCCACCACAACTGGATCGTGGCTGCCTACGCCCACTTCGCCGTCTGCTACAGGTACCGTGCAGGTCCTCGTGGCTAATGCTGCTTTTAATTTGGGGGATAGTTTCAGTGATCGTGATTTTTATGTGTGTAGATGGGAGAGCTGTTTCTTCCAGCTGTCAAATTTTCCCTATTCTCCTCAACTGCTGTATCTCTGTTAGATTTAGTTTGCTTTTATTGCTTTTATTTTCATAGCTAAGTTGGTCAGCACTGCTGGTGGCCTTGTATGTCTTAGGTATTTCCCAGGCAATACGAAGTTACTCCTTCTTGCTTATTGGAGATCTAGCTTCTGAGCCATTTAACTGTTGTGGTAAACGACCCAGAGGGATTATGACCGAGCCTCGGGATTTTCTGTCTGCGGTATTTCAGTCTCTTGTGCTTCGAGTAGCGAGGGGTAAGGCTCCGCATTGGTCATGACAAGCACCTGGTTGGCAGTGAGGTGGTGACACAGGACAGTCGTGGGCAGGAGTGATGTCTTTTAACGTGTGCGGTGCGTGAGACTTCCAGAGGGCGTTTTGGCTTTTACTAATTTTTGCTTTCTCAGAAACTAAAAGGAGTGAGGAAGAACGTAGACCAGTGGATTTTAGTTGGAGAAAGGATAGGTTCTTAATACAAAATCATGATTGCAATGAGAAATGTTGATGACAGAGGATGGTATAGAAGCCCAAAATGGTTGGGACATAGTAGCTTAGACCAGCAGTTGCCAACCAGTGGTCCTTCTGTGAGGTCCGAAAGGTTGGCAACCACTGGCTTAAACTATGATACCATTTAATCTAATGGCTAAAAAATCAAAGAATATGTATTTTGTTACTATTATGTTTAAGAGGAAATAGCCACAATAGACTAAAAATAAAATTAGAAAGTCTTCTACCGACTACAGATATATTTTAAAGAATCCTTGATGTATTTTTTTTAAAATCTCAGTTTGTGGTAGGTTTGCCATATTTGGTAAAAAAAAAAAAAAAAGACTTTTATATCAGTAGCCACCACCTTTTATTTTCATTGCAATAGAGGTTCGGTGGAAACTTTCCATTTTGAGAGCATTTTGTCATTTTTCACTAAATGGAATAACATGGAAGTGATTTTGTAGATGATTTCCTTTGGGGATGACTTTTATGGGGAGCAAGAATGATCAGAAAGAAAAATTAAATTTGGGGGAGTGCTATTTGAACCTGTTGGCATGCAGATCTGACTTGAGCAGACCATTGCACTTGTTGAGTGGCGGGTGCATGTCTGTGCTGATGAGGGGTCCAGGAGAGCTGTGAGCGGGCATGCCCGGTGCCCTCTGTATTGCACTGCCGCTCCAGGCGCCTGCCTGCCTGATGGACATGGCGCTGCGCAGTCACTCCCTCCCTTGAGTGGTATTTCCCGCTCTTTGATTTTCACCGCAGCCTTACTGTGCCTTCATGAGTGTCCGTGGTGTCAGAGCCCAGGCAGAGTGACAGAGGAAAAGAACTGAGGGTCCAGTGAATTCCTTAACTTAGCACAGTGGCAATAAGTTTTCCAAAAGAAGATACTCACATTAAGAGGGTAATTTCCCCATTGCTCTCTCTACCAATATATTCACACCTGAAAAATGACAGAGCACAGTGCGCCCTGGCTAGTCTCTGCCTGGCTCGCGCTTTTCTGCGTTGCTCGGCTGCACTCCTGTTTCCTTTCCTTGCTAGTGTAGAGCAGGCACTTGGACGAGTGCAGAGGAGCTGTCTCACTCCCCTCCTCGGAGCCTCACGTCGCACTAGAGAACTCTATCTTTGTGGGACTGACTTCTTGCATGTGGTGTGAGATTTAGGAGACTATTTCCTTCCACATGGGCAGGTACTTACGTTTTGATGGTTATAGAAATCATCCTTTCCCCCTTAAACATGAAAGCTTTTATTTTGCTACACACACCCAGATCTAATTTTAGACTCTTAAGATCTTCTTACATGCTGTGTCTTCCCATACAGTGTAGGTCAGTGTGTTATAATAAGCTCCAGAGTCATGGGCCTGGTCCCCGTGTGTTTTGTGAGACTCCGTGGAAGGCAGCCACGCTCCTGCATGCAGTCCTGGCTGCCAGGTGTCGGCTCACCGCAGCAGGAAGCAGGTGGGCGCCAGGTGCCAGCGCTCACTCTAGCATTTTACATTTTAAATTCTGCATTACTTGTGCGGAGTTATAGAGCAAATGTGTCTTCTTTGTACTTAATTTTGTAACTTACAACATCGGATTAAGTTCTGTGGTTGCTATAATTGTTTTCAAATATGCTATCTTGATAATTCTTTTTTTCTTTTTTTTGGCCATCTCCTTATTTTGTAATACTCCCATTTCTATAGAGAAAAAGAACTTAGAGGTATGAACCCCAAAGAAGACTAGATTGCATATACAGGTGTCCCCCAAAAATGTATGCACGCTTTAACAGCTGATAGCTCAGTGTTTTGTTTTTTTTTTAAATATATTTTATTCATTTTGTACAGAGTGGAAGGGAGAGAGATAGAGAGTTAGAAACATCGATGAGAGAGAGTCATCGATCAGCTGCCTCTTGCACACCCCTTACTGGGGGTATGCCCGCACCAAGGTACATGCCCTTGACCGGAATCGAACCCGGGACCCTTCAGTCCCCAAGCCGAAGCTCTATCCCTTGAGCCAAACTGGTTTTGGCTGATAGCTCAGTTGATGTTTCTTTTCAGATTGAACCCATTGGAATTGGTAAATTAATAATTATACCAAAGTGGGTATACATTTTTGGGACCCCCTATAGTGTTATTTATGTTCCTAATGATCACAGCATCCCATCACTCACCTCGTTGCATCACTTCTGCCTCCTCTCACTGAACAGTTAATCACTAAGAACATCATTTGATTTCTCAATGGGTGTCAGTTTTCCAAGTTTATTAGATAATTGCTTCCATTTGTTTACCTTAACACAGGGATGCCATCTGGTGGCTGAATAGGGTAATTACAGATCATTCAGTGCTTAGGAAAATTTGAAACATTTCTCTATTGCTTTGAAGTAAATTAAGGCAATCTTAATTCTTGAAATTAATAAGAAGGGTCTTTCTTTGTGTGAGTTATAGTTGTGTTATTCCAGCATGCATTTTAAAAAAATGTTTTTATTGATTTTAGAAAAAGGAAGGGAGAGGGATAGAGAGATGGAAACATCAGTCATGAGAGAGCTTCATTGATCAGCTGCCTCCTGCCAACTCCCTGCTGGGGATCGAGCCAGGCATGTGTCCTGACCAGGAACCAAACAGGTGACCTCCTGGTTCCTGGGTCATGGTTCAACCCCTGTGCCACACCGGCCGGGCTAGCATACATTGTAAAACAAAAGTGGATTGAGTGATTTCATTTGGGTCCTCTGGAGAGCTAGAAACCACACGGAGTGTGTGTCCGAAAGACTGAAGATGGTGGGAAATTACTAAAAGCTTACAGGTGTTACCAGAAATTAAATACTAAGGAAGGCAATAAGTATATATTTGATCAACTACAAATCTGAATCCTGGTAAGCCTTTATGTCTGGGGAGTATATAGGCCTGTAAGGTTTTTCACTTGGGATGAAACCTTTAAAACCCAGTCCTCAGAAAGGTTTCCAAGCTTCGAGGTTTCTGCTTTTGATGGTGCTGAGGTACTGGAGTGATGTTACCACATCACTCCTCGTCTTAGTAGCCTGGGGGGACGGTCCTCTGAGTAAGAAAAGGGATGGATTGAGTGTGTGGTCTCAGTTAAAATAATAACTGAGTGATTAATAACTGAAAGGGGTAATAATTATCCTAAAGTCTGACTTTTGTTGACCATACCTACCCATAAATAATGATAGTAGCCCTTTTTTGTGGAGAAAAGTGAAAGGTTCAGTTTAAGTTGCTATTGCCTTTTTTTTTTTTTTTACAGCTTTCCTAAATTATTCTTGGCCGAAATATAGAACTCTAATCTCTTTTTAGTGGTTTAGATTTTGTATGTATGCAAGCATAAGGTATTTCAGGAATACTTTCCTGGATTTGTAAATGGTATACACCAACAACATTTTATATATATATATTTTTTAAATATATTTTTATTGGTTTTTCACAGAGAGGAAGAGAGAGGGATAGAGTTAAAAACATTGATGCGAGAGAATCATCAATCAGCTGCCTCTTGCACACCCCCTACTGGGGATGTTCCCGCAACCAAGGTACATGCCCTTGACCGGAATCGAACCCGGGACCTTTCAGTCCGCAGGCCGACGCTCTATCCGCTGAGCCAAACCGGTCCGGGCAACATTTTATATTTAACGTGAAGGTCGGTGGTGAGCTGTGAACGGTGTGCTTTGTGGCGCTGTCTGCAGGGTTGCTGCTGAGTCACGTGTGCCCGTTCTCGCTTGACAGGATCAAAGAGTCCTCGGGGTGGCAGCAGGTGTTCACCAGCCCGTACTTGGATTGGACGGTTGAGCGAGTCGCTCTGAACGCGAAGGTGGTCGGCGGTCCCCATGGAGACAGGGACAAAATGGTTGCCGTGGCCTCGGAGAGCAGCATCATCCTCTGGAGCGTCCAGGACGGCGGGAGCGGAACGGAAATCGGTGGGCAGAGCTGTGTGTCTGCTGCATGTTGCTGGCGTGTGTGATGTTCCGAAGCTCAGCAGGATTGCCCGTGAATAGCAAACCTGATGGTGGTCACGGGACCCCTCGGTGGGGTGGGAGAGATGATCTTTAAAGAGGGCAAAGGTGACATTGTAGTAGTTTCAGTATAAAAGTCCTGCAGACGTTTCTGGCCTTTAAGAGTTTTTCACGTTTGTTTAAAATATTTACTTAAAACTCGGCACATTTGCTCTCAATGGACCCACGCCTGGCAAAACATTTTGTTTCATAAGACACAAGGCAAGTTACACCTATAAAGTTGAAAGAAAGGTAAAGTTTATTTTTAAACTTTTTCCACAGGTGGCCCAGTATCTGTAAAGCCCTCCTTTTGTGAGTGAGAACGGATGGGGCGTGTTTGTGGGCATCTTCTAGCTTAGATGGTGCAGGCTGAGCTGAGCGGGCAGCTGCTGATTGCCCTTGAAGCCAGGGATCCATCTCTAAATAGAAGGAAAACACAACATTTTATTTTAGATTATAAACAATTTTAGGAAAAGTCTTAGTAACTGTGAAAGGTCTTCAGAACAGGTTGAAAAGGAATATTGCAAAAATGCAACGTATCATCGTTTCGTGTGTTTCTCTGTGTGTGGGGGGAGGGAAACCTGGATTTCAACACAGAAATATACTGGACAGTGATGAGGTTACCGCAATGGAAAGACAAAATGGAAACTGCTAGTAGGAATAATTAAAGTAAACTGAGTTAGTCTTGGGGAACTTAGGCTGGTTACCCCATAACCCTACCACCCAGAGAGTTCTAGAAAACATAAGACCTTATCACACGTCACGTAGTCTGGACTCGGTACTCTCCTAAGGTAATGAGTGAAAAAGGGAAAAATGATACAGAAAAGGAGTCGGGTGTGGTGGTGTTTTTTTTTTTTTTCTTTTCAGATTGCTCTGTAACAGACCAGTGAGGGAGGGAGAGGTTTGCCTTGTGCTTGCACAGGCTAGTGGGTAGGTAGCTGTGTTGTGAGATGCTACATAGTAACGGTTCATGCTCTGGGAGAGAGATTGGCTGCCACAGACATTCTCTAGGACCTTTCAGCAGCGCCCAGTGATGGCGAGGCTGGTGTGGCCATCGGGCTGCCCTCCCTCATGTAACTGTGAGCGTGGCGTGCTGCCGGCCCTCTCTCACCTACAGGCCCTCAGCGTGGACCTTGTCATTGCTGCTCCTGCTGCCGCCCCTGCGGAGGGCGGTCAGGGCGCGGGGCCTAAGCAGCAGTGACACGTTCCATTTCTCCGTCATCCAGAGCGTCCTCCTTCATTTCCCAGAGTAACCCACGTTCGCGGGTTTTCCTGGTTTGGTTCTGCCTCTTGCTGAGCCCGTGGTCTGCAGGTAGTTAGCTTCGCATGCTCTCCACAGTTGCTTGGCATCAAAATGGAAGTCCTGTTCCGTACGAGTTCTCGAACTTGCAGGTGAAATAGCAGTGCTTTTTCTTTCTTTTCGTTATTCCTGAGAGAGGCCTGGCTTTTTTAAGATCCCTGAAGGTTTTTCACAGTTAGTGATTGCTGCCGGTCTTGTCTGTGCGCAGTGCAGGTTTGCGCAGAACGAGGAATACCCGCTACAGGTGTAAAGTTCAAAAGAAATCAGTTCTCTTCCGGCTTACGGTTTTAATACACGCTGCAATTGCATTTAATTTGTTTCTCTTCGATGCCATTTTTTTTCTAAGCTAGATGTTGAGAAAATTGTTCATGTAGTCACATAATAGGTACTTTTAAAAAAAGTAAACTGATACCTGAAACAGCTTAAAATCCACATTAAACAAATAGGTGAGGTATTTTCCCGTCATTTTTAGATAAAAAGACAGTTTTTATAAAATGTTTTTCAGATAATTAAGGTAATACTACTTGTGTCAAAATTGGATTGTAACACTTTGAAGGTGAACTAGACACCGAGACCTTTAGCTGCAGCTGCTTTAGAGATGAGACGGCGAGAACCAGACAGGCTGCTGGAGCAGCTCCTGCTGGGGAGACACTGTGTGGCCGCGAGCGCCACCCTCAGGGGAGCCTGGGCTTCGGGCTTCTCTGCATCAGATGCCATGCTCCTGCTCTTAATGTGGAGTGTTGGCTCCTTCCAATCTCCCCACTACCCCTCACCTTCTTCCCCACCCCCCCCCCACCCCCCGTACCCCTTTCCTCAGATTTTCCTCAGATATCCTGGGCCTCCCATGCCAGCCCAGGTAATGAGCTCCTGTTCACCTTTTTAAAAACCCACTCTCACGCCTTCTTCCCTAAGAAACATTCTCAACCCCTTCCTATCCCTTTGGCCTCTCTGGGTAGTTTATTCCTAGGTGTCTGGTGTTAGTGTTACCTGTGCTATGGGCTGCTAGAATCTTTCCTCTATCGCACCGTAAGCTCCTAGTGAGTGATACTCTGGCTTGTGTTGTCAGTCTGTGGCCTAGAATCGTGCCTTTTGACTAAATTCCGCTGAGATCTACCTGCTGGGAAACCAGGGGTTCAGACAAGCGAGTGAAGGCCTGGGGGTCTGAGTGCTGAACGGCCCCTTGCTCCTTTGCTTGTCTCCTCCCCTTCCTTTTTATTTTATTTACTTATTTATTCTTTTTTATTTTATTTTTTTGCTTATTTTCAGGTGTCTAGATCATTGAGGCTTCCCAAGTCTGTGTTCCTCAGACCAGTGGTTCCCGGACATCTGGTCCATGAGCTGCCGCTAAGTCTCCCTGGGTTTTAGAGCAGCGCAGTGGCTCTCTGAGTGGGGCAGCAGGAGCCGGTTAGCTTATTTTGTTCGGAAAGATCAACTAGGTGCGGGCACCACAGCTGCCGATGACAGGACGTCCTGTCCGAGTGCGAGGACCGGGGGCAGACGTCGGCCTGCTTTGGGAGTGTATAAGCTTATTTCTGCTCCCCTAAGCATTAGTACCTGGTTTGTAGAAATGAGACTAGGTTAAAAGTAGTCACCGTTAACGTGTTTTTAAGGTTTGGGTTCCATTGATGACTGATCAGCCTCTTTACTTCTTCTTCTCTCAGGCGTGTTCAGCCTCGGCGTGCCCGTGGATGCACTCTTCTTCATCGGGAACCAGCTGGTGGCCACGAGCCACACGGGGAAGGTGGGCGTGTGGAACGCCGTCACCCAGCACTGGCAGGTGAGCCCCCCCCCCCCCCTCCCCCGGGAGCAGCGGCCGCCACCAGCGGCTGCAACCCTCTGACTGCATCTGCTGCTGACTGTGGGGTTCCCTTTGTCTGTTTGATTCTGCAGAATGAGTGAATATCTGCATTGGCACATTTGCTTCTGGATGAAATTTGACTTTTCATTTAGAATTTGAAGTCACTCTGCAAAGTTTTGAAACTGCGATCTGCCCTTATTTCCTTGACGTGGTTTGAGTTGCAACGTTTAGCTCTTTAGTCTGAGAGCTTATTTGCCTTAATGGCAATTCCTAGGAAGCAGGTGAAGTCTGCAGGGGGCACAGGGAAAGCAGGGAGCTGCCTTTTCACGGGAAGAATGGTTATCGAGGGAAGACGTACTGTCTGGAAGTCTATGCTCTGGTCTTGGTGTGTCCCTCACAGGGACCGAGCAGGCCATTGATGGCTGAGTGCCCTGCTCAGACCTGGCCTTCCAGCCCTCAGTGCTGTGGTCCCAGAACCATGTGCACAAAGAGAATCCTCCCACATTCTGAAAGGAAAGTGCCCTGTGGAAATTCCGTTTTCAAAGCTTTCAAGGGAATCACACACGTGATTCTTTACCATTCCCTGTGCAGGGTGTGCGCGCGCATGTGTGTGTGAAACGTCCATTTCTAAGCCCCACTTATAGTGAATGTTGGTGTTTTATTAAAAGAATTCTGAGAAAACTGAGCAGAGGATAAATTGTAACTAATATCTGACATCTGATGACCATCTCGCCACTCAGGTTCAGGATGTCGTCCCTATAACGAGCTACGACACCGCCGGGTCGTTCCTCCTGCTCGGGTGTAACAACGGGTCCATCTATTACATCGGTGAGTGAGCACGCCACCGTCTTTACCTTCAGTGCGCGCGCTCCTGGCCTCAGTGTGACGGGGCGTTGTTTTGCAGACATGCAGAAGTTCCCTCTGCGGATGAAGGACAACGATCTCCTCGTCACCGAACTCTACCACGACCCTTCCAACGACGCCATCACCGCGCTGAGCGTGTACCTCACACCCAAGACAAGTCAGTGCCCGCAGCTCCCGTGCTCGCTTCCCGAATGGCAGAGCTGAGGGTGTCAACGTCTGTATGCAGAGCACACGTGTGTTCATGCCCACGTCAGACAGGGCCCAGGCAGGCAGCCCCGGGTGCGACATTGCACTGCCTCCCTGGAATCGTTACAGTGTCAACCAGGGTGACCAAACACGTCACTTCGACCTTCCCATTGCAGTAGCTGGTTTTGTTGTGAAATCAGGAGCCTTTCTATTTTTTAACCAAAAGCAGGAGCTCTTAGACTGTTCATCTTTATTGGACAGAGATGAGCTCGTTTCCTTTGCAAATTTCAAATTTCAGTTGTGGGAAGACATTTTACTTGGAAGTTCAGGATAACTGTCATTGCCTTTCAAAGGCCTTTGCAGTGGAATTAACAAGCTCTGTCAATTGGGAAGTTCTTATATTCCGGCGTGAACAGTAAACATACACGGGAACTTTAATCGGTAATGACAGGAATTGTAGGAAGGTTAATGTGCACAGTGATAGCGCTAGGTTTGAGGGTTACTGATAAAATGCCTCTTTATGGGAATCATTCCTTGGTCTGAAAAAAAACCAAGTTCTAGTGCCCACAGGGGGTTTGGGCTGAGACTGAGGCGAGAGTTTACACCGGGCCCAGCGAGCCGGCAGGCTCTCTTCGTTAATGGCTCCCGGGCTGCCTCTGGCGGCTCTGGCCATAACGGACAGTGTGGTGCTCAGGGTGGAATGCTTGCTGCCCTCTGCAGAGCGAGCTCAGCTCCTTTGTCTAAATTGGAAGCTGCTGCTGCTGCAGAGGCAGGAGCCACCGGCTGGCCAGGGGAAGTGCTCTCCCGCCCGGCTTCAGGAATGAGGGAACCGGGTGAGGTGCCGGCGGAGCCCGGAGGCTCCCTGTCTAAAGCTCTTGAAGAGGCCCCTGACCCCATCCTCCTCCAGGTGGGGGTGGGGGGTGGGGGTGGGAGGGCTTGTTAGAAACGGAGCCACAGGTGGCCTGATGGGAGGAGCTGGACAAGGTCGGCGACAGCGCGGCACATGCGCTGTAAGCCAGTGGGGGGTGTGTGTCCAGGGAGAGGGCTCTGAAACTGAAGTAGGAGAGTCTAGTACCCCACTTGACTGCTCCAGGAACATTCTGTATTGGAGCCACGTGAACGTGAGAGATGGTCATGCTGGGCTGGAAGGATCACGGACGATGGCCTTAGAAATACTGTGGGGTGATCTTAGCACTTGGATCCGGTGTGCTGCTCAGTAAATGTTTATAGGAGACCTATTCTGCCTCGGGCACCCTACAGGCTGACCTAGACAAGAAGATGAGGCTTCTGTCCATCCAGGAGGAGAGGAGGGTAGACGGGAGATGACCAGTGTGTGACAGCTGCTGTGAGAACCTCACACAGTGCAGGGAGTGTGGGAGGGCAGTTACCTCTGGGGTGAGGCGCAGAGAATCCCCGGTTCCCGAGCCGGGCTGTGGGGCACTGGGTCAGCTCTGCCCCCCACCTCGCAGGGGGCCTCTGAGAGGGCAGCTTTCTCCATGTTTACTGTGGCCCGATGTCCCCCTCGCCTGTGCCAGGTGTCAGCGGGAACTGGATTGAGATCGCCTACGGGACCAGCGCGGGGGCCGTGCGGGTGATCGTGCAGCACCCCGAGACCGTGGGCTCGGGCCCGCAGCTCTTCCAGACCTTCACCGTGCACCGCAGCCCCGTGACCAAGATCATGCTGTCCGAGAAGCACCTCGTGTCGGGTAGGGAGGCTCGGCGCGCACGGAACGCGTGCCTCTGGGAGACCATTAAAGCAGCCTTTTCTATTGTACATTCCTGGGCATATTTTTGCCTTCAGGACAAAATATCTTTTAAAAATATGCATTTATTTTTTAAAAAATTAAATATAATTTGATTTCTTTGCAGAGAAGGAGAGGGATAGAAACATCGATGAGAGAGAAACATCCATCAGCTGCCTCCTGCACACCTTGTACTGGGGACGTGCCGGCAACCAAGGTATCTGCTCTCGAACCTGGGACTTTTTATTCCGCAGGCCAATGCTCTATCCACTGAACCACACCGGTTAGGGTTCTTTAAAACTTTAATGCTAGGTGAAGAACTTGCATCACTGCACTCCGTGAGAAGCCTACAGGGCCGGAGCCAGATCCGGACCCAAGCCCACAGGTCTCCTCCTGGAGTCGGCACCTCGTGTGCAAAGAACTCTGCTTCTGCGGCAGAACTGTCACCTCTACTAGAGGGAGGCGGGGTCAGGCCATTTGCTCCTGTGAGAAATACCGTTTAGCTGGGTTCTTTTTACACGACAGTGCTTAGGAATCACAGTAGTAATTGCTGCTGTTTTGATGGAGATGATATGGTAACATGTGCCACACTACATAGTAAAACTTGCATTTTAATTCCATTTCATGTTGGTTTGAAATGTAAGTAAATTTGTCAAGAAACCGGTTTGGCTCAGTGGATAGAGCACATGTGTCAAACACAAGGCCCGCAGGCCAAATCCGTCCCGCCAGGCCTTGCAATGTGGCCCGCACCGCGCTGTCATCACTGCACTCCGCTGCGTTTCCATCACAATGACAGTTTATGACTGTTCAGTAAACCATTCGGCCCGCGATTTAGGCTGGATTTTAGATTTTGGCCCCTTCTCTGATTGAGTTCGACACCCCTAGGATAGAGCATCAGTCTGTGGACTGAAAGGTCTCGGGTTCGATTCCGGTCAAGGGCATGTACCTTGGCTGCGGGCACATCCCCAGTCGGGGGTGTGCAGGAGGCAGCTGGTCGATGTTTCTCTCTCCCTTCCTCTCTGTAAAAAATCAATAAAATATATTTTTTTTTAAAAAAGAAAAATGTCCAGCTTAAGCCACAAATCTGGAGTACTTTGTGCAATGCTCAGTATGTTACTCTGCCACCTGGTGGACATCAATGTAAGTGTAAAAATGTGTATGTATCGATAAATGGAATGACTTTTTCCCCCCATAGTGTTTGTTTTCATGTCTTAATATGAAGTTTTTAATTAACAAAATTGCCATAGTTGCTCATTTGAACCAAATAACAATTTGCCATAATTTTAAAGATATTTAAATTTTTCTGAATCCTTGGGTCAATATTGAAATCAGGCTATTATTTTCCATGAAGCTAAATAAACAGCCTAGAACTAAATGTCTTTTTTTTTTTTTTTTTTTTTAACAGAAAGCTGGTACACTGAGAATTTTGTTACCTAAATAATATTTGTACATATTTTTTTATTTCTATTGCAATTAGCCAAAATTAAATTTCTAAAGTTTTATTTTAAAATGTGCAACTATGGAATTTTACCAGTAAGAAATGTTGTATGTCTACAGTTAATTTCACGTTTTCCTAGTATTTACTGATGAGTTCATAGCTTATTGGTAACAACAAGTTTCTAGAATCATGTCAAATTAGTATAAGTTTTTATTAAGGTATGCCACAAAATTTACATTAACGATACTTTTTTTGCTTGTATTTTTAATTTATGTGTTTAGACTAAAGGGAGAAAAAGAGGCTACTTGTTAGAATTCTCAGTATATGCCCACTTAATATTTATATGACAAAGTAAATGAAGTTAAAATAAATACATACTCTTATCAAATAATATAACAATAACTCTCAGCTTTATAGGAAATCTTAATTTTAGTTTTCCTCATAAAACTGTCAGTGGGCAAAAACCGCTAGTTCCTAATAGCTTTTGACAAATATCCTTTATACATGTCCAGTCGCTCCTGGTCTAGGTAAATATTTGAGTAACAGAAGGAGAAAATTTCTGGTTTAAAAAAATAAACTAGGCAACTTGTTTACTATCTTTTCTCTAACAAACACTCTCCTTTAACCTTTTCTACTCTAGAGGCTACTTCCATAGGGTTCCATAGATTTACTTATATACCTTACATATGCAGACAGGTACACCATATTCTTTTAGCTCTCTCACTGTTGCCGGTTAGGTAAAAATTTAGTATAATTTTAAGATAAAGATGCCATTTGCCACTCCAGAGATGTGCTAGGACCTATTGAATGGTCACAGGGAAAGCTAGTGTGTTTATAAAAGAGTTTTGTGGCGCTCTTACAGATCCCCATGTAACAGCTCTGGTGTCCGCTTCCCTCCTAGTCTGTGCAGATAACAACCACGTGCGGACGTGGACGGTGACACGGTTCAGAGGCATGATCTCCACTCAGCCCGGGTCCACGCCGCTCGCCTCCTTCAAGATCCTGTCTCTGGAGGAGACGGAGAGTCCCGGCAGCTACACCTCTGCCAACGACATCGGTGAGTGAGCTTGTGTGGGGTTTCCCACCCCATGTGGGCGGGGCAGAGTGAACAATAGTAAAAGCTGGAAGTGAGTTTTAAAAGCTTTTCGTTTTAATTATGAAATTCATTTGAAACAAATTTAGCACATATCTCCAAATGCTAACCATTTTTGTTTATAATTAAAATCCATGATGGTTATGCAAATTGGAACATTTTATCTAATAAAGAATTGTTCATCTCATTGTATGATTCACATTAAATACTTTTGTGAATAGTTTAACTATTGAGTATGATGGGGTAAGAATTATTAAAATGTTACGTTTAAGTTTTTTATGAAAACACTTTTCTTTAAGAATCTTTCCAAAATGGATGCTGAGTCAATGATTTGCCTTGCCAAGTGTAACCAAGTGAAGATAATTGAATCTTTCCTTTCATTAGATAAGAAAACTTGGTAGAGTGCAGCAGGCTTCTGATTCACTAAATTCTATTGAATGAGGTTGCACTTTATTTCTAAGACTTTGCATGTTGGCTTTCCAAAAAAAAGTACAGTCAGTGCATAAAAGGAGCTGAGCACATTCTCAGAGGGAGTGCGTAAAGGGGGGCGTCCCCAGGTTTCCCATGGGCTCGGACCATGGACGCTTCCGAGCTTATTCCCGCCATCAGCTTTAACAGCCTCCTGCAAAACAAGCAGATTTGAATTATGTATTTCTTAAATTTTTTCATGCAAGTTGAAGTCCTCGCATCATTGCATTTTGTCTGTTTGACGTGGAATGAAGGCCACATTGACAGGCATGAAAATCCTTTCCCCCCCAGTATTAATGTTAAATGAAACCATTTAAACTTGAACTTTTTTTGCATCGTCTGATCAAGGGCCCTTTGGAGAGCGAGATGACCAGCAGGTGTTCATCCAGAAAGTGGTCCCCATCACCAACAAGCTGTTCGTCAGGCTCTCCTCCACCGGGAAGAGGTGAGCTGGCTGCGCCATAGCCCACACACGGCGCATTGCACCATGGGTCAGAGTGCGGGCAGAGACACCCGGCCGAGAGGATCTGTCCGCTGCCTCGTCTGGCTTTAACTGGAATGAGGACACTGAGTGCTGGATCTCTGGGAACATTTAAGATCTCCTCAGGCTGGACAGTGAGGAAGGACTAGTGACAGCAGAGCAAACACAGGAGTGGGGCTGCGGGAGCTGACCTGAGGGCTAGTTCTGGCCTTCCTCACCAGCTGCCGACACTCACCCTCAGTTCCTTGGTTCTCTGAGCCCCCGTTTCTCCATAAAAGAAGGTTCCTACCTTGTAGGAGGTCGTAGGACCAAATGAGCATAAGCATGAGCTGTCTGGTGTAGCCCTGACTAGTGCAGATGCCGAGTAGAAGATAGTTTCCTCTGAGTATAACATTTCTCTTCTTTAAAAACATACAACTTTTTTTGCATGTCAGAATTCCTTAGAACTTTTTAAGGAAGTTATGGATACTCTGAGAATTATTAAAAACAGTAACATTAATAGTTATTATTCAGCTATTATTTTAAACTGAGATGATACTTTTTTTTTTTAACCAAAGTTCATTGCATGAATTGATTCTGGAAAATTTTATGTACTAAACTATCTTTTTTTTTTTTAAGAAAATGTATTAGGAGCCTAAAGGTAAAAATGAAGTTATTACCTTGAGAAATGTTATAATCACTCAGTGTTCCGTGCAGACTGGAAAAAGCTGCCAAACGTTTATTAAAACTGCAACGTAGTATTTCATCTTGTTCTGTTCTAACCTCCTCCCTCTTTAGCTCACAGTAGTGTGTTGTACCAACTACAGTTTATACCGTGAACTTGACAATTCCAGAGGAAAAGCTAGATTTATAAAAATAAGCAGACATAGAACAGCAGCCCCTTATGCAGCTCATGTGAAGCCTTTTGCTTACAGACAGCTCAGACCCCGAGACGTCAGAGTATAGTCCTCTCCACAGGCTGTACATTTCTGGTCTCAGATTTGTATAATTTACACATAACATACCTTATAAGTGACTTCTCAACATCTTTTCTAGTGAATATCTGTAGCTTCCTTTGAAAGAACTGCTCCATTCTTCCCAAGGCTCTTTCAACATTGATTTATTATTTGCCTGGTTTCAATTACTTAGTGCATTATTTTATAAGAACCTTTTCATTAGACTAAAGGAACAGTGTACCTTTGATTCCTGTTACCTGCCTTGACCTCTTTCATGCCTGTGGGGCGTTCAGCTCTGAGGGTAATTGGGATTTTGGAGTTATTTCTTGTGCAGCGCCGTCCGGGTCCGGCCGTGGCTGACAGCTGGGCACCGTCTCTTCCAGGATCTGTGAGATCCAGGCCGTGGACTGCACCACCATCTCCGCCTTCACCGTGCGGGAGTGCGAGGGCTCCAGCAGGATGGGCTCGCGGCCCCGGCGCTACCTGTTCACCGGCCACACCAATGGCAGCATCCAGATGTGGGACCTGACCACCGCCATGGACATGGTCAGCAAGAGCGAGGACAGGGGTAGGTGTGGGGACAGGGTGCAGGGCGGGCGCAGGCTCCCGTGTGACGAGTGTGTGTTGTAACGCATGTGCGTGTGTGTGCTCCGCAGATGCAGGCGGCCCCACGGAGGAGGAGCTGCTGAAGCTGCTGGACCAGTGCGACCTGAGCGCGTCCCGCTGTGCCACGCCCAGCATCAGCCCGGCCGCCTCGGTGGTGCAGCACAGCCGGCTCCGCGAGGCCGGCTCCAGGTGGGACTGTCCACAGCCTGCCCGCTTCCCACCGCACTGCCGTCACAAAATACTTTCCCACTGAATGTCTCCAGGGCACGCAGCTGGATCTTTCACAGGGAGAACGTTTTTATCCCTTACCTCATTGTGTGAATTTCTGCTCATTTGGGTCCTGTTTTGTGATTGAGAATCGTTGAAAGGAAATCAGAAAATTCATCTGTGACCTTGGAAAGTATGTGGTCGCGTTGTCTTGTCTGATCTTCAGACACCATGTAACTTAACTGCTGTGTGTGCTGAGGTGTGACTGACACACAGCAGTTACTGGTGTACAGCATAACGATTCAGAATTTGCACGCATTTTGTACTTTTAAGACAATGGCATAGTATATCTTTTTAATGTTTTAAAAAAATCTAAACTCAAGGCTTGATGCTGGTTCTACCGTGGTTTTAAAGCCCTTTCCCCAGCTTTTTCAGCCATCCACAGATTGAGCTGCACACACAGTCCCGAGGCTGTGAGTACAGCAGAGGGAAGGCGGGGAACCTCGTTTCTCGAGCTTGATTTGTGCCAGGAGGCTGATGGAAAGCGAGTCTTTGATTTACATTATTTCTAATGGGAAGAAATAATGTAAATCGAAATCTTATCCATTCCAGACCCCCCAAGTGATGCTGTTTTAATCGTTCTTTTACATAGTACACGTCTGTTGTACTGTTTAATCTGTAAACAAGCACTTTAAAAGAAAAAGGTCATGAAAATTTAACAATAAGCAGCAATGAAAGCAAAAGCACAAATACCCACAGCACAATAGTCTGAGATTTTAGCCGAGGTAAACTGCTAAAATGTGTGTATTTGTGCGTTCTCTCCTGTCACCTGAGAGGCTGATCCTACGGGCGTCAGCATGGCAGGGCTGTCAGGGAGAAGCGAACTGTTCAAGATGGGAGACGTTCGAGAAACGAGGTTCCACTGTGCAGTCAGTACAGTAATAACCTTACCGTGCCAGATGGTACATCGCATAAATGTCTGATCACGCTGGTGTCCACCTGCAACTAATAAATGTCTTATGCCCCTGCCATTGGAGACAGAATCCCGCTTCACTGACTACACCTGCGATATTTGCATGGGTAGTTCATACACACGTAACTTTAAAGCACTTAAATGTGCTTTTAACAAGACAGAAGTAAGAACGTGTCTACATTTTCAGGTAACACGTGTGTGCACTGCGGTCTCATTCCTGAGACGTGCCCTGACCTGCGATTTCTAACCCTTCCAGCCTCCAGCTGCAGCACCACGAGGCCATCCCCGAGGCCGCCACCTACAGCTCGGTGCGGCCGTACCGGGAGAGCCCCCTGCTGGCCCGGGCACGGCGCACCGAGAGCTTCCACAGCTACCGCGACTTCCAGAGCCTGCACCTGCCCCGCAGCCTGGAGCGCGCCCTGCCCGAGGACGCCAGCCCCGGGCCCAGCCAGGCCGAGGTGAAGCGGGCGGCGGGGGACTGCGCGGGGCCCGAGGGCGCGGCCCCCGGAGCCGAAGCGCGGGGAGCACGGGAGGCGGAGACGCACGGAGCAGCCGAGGCCGGCCCGGAGGCCAAGAGGAGGGCGCCCGAGGACGACGGCGACCGAGGGGAGCCCCGCAGGAAAGGCGGGTTCGACGGGGGCGGCTTCCTGGGCAGGAAGAAGGGGCCCCACCTGGCCTCCTCGCCCAGCACCTCCGACGGAGGCACCGACTCGCCCGGCACCGCGTCCCCGTCCCCCACCAAGACCACGCCGTCCCCCCGGCACAAGAAGAGCGACTCCTCGGGGCCGGAGTACAGCCTGTGAGCGCCTGCGGGTGGGTGGTCCATGGGGGGCGGGGGGCCCTCGGGTGTCTGACAGCAGGCGCCGGCCACGCGGGCCACCAGCCTGAACGTGGGCCTCTGCGTGTCGTCGGACACCCAGCGCCCTCACCACCGGCCCGAGGCAGGACCGGACCAATGAGTCTAACTCCTGGGTCCAGTACACGAGCTTCCACACCAAAACTCTACACAAACGTGGACTTCTCTTCCGATCTTCCTAACACAATGAGATGGAGTAACCAGAACAAAACCAGAGCTCTCGTGACCTTTCTGAACAAGTACGTCCAATTGGTAATCTGTAAAGCTAGTCCAGGGAGCTCAGAAACACGTGTCGTAACTCCCCCACCTGATCCGGAGGTGAACACCCCTGAGAACATGGTGATCGACCGACCACATTCCTCACGTAGACTCCGCCTGAGCCTGCCTCGCTGGTTATCTTAAGTCACACACTTCTCAGTTGTGGAACTTAGTCTCTCACCCTAATTGTGGTTGCACAGTGTTTACCGATATTTAACGAGGTGCTATGTTTGTGGAGAAATGCCGTGTCATTCACAACACTATTGATGCTGAGGGTACTTGTCAGTGTAGGTCATCTCCCGATTCTCATTGTTGGTCTTAAACCTTAGCATGCGTCACCAGTAAATGCCCAAAGCCCACTTACACTTACTTTACAGTGGGCGCAGCTGTCTGTGTGTGAACAGGTGGAACAGTAAGGACAAAGCTCTGAGTGCCCAGAAGGGAACACTACCAAGGGTAGGCTGCCTTGTGTAGGAGCCACCGTGTTAACATAAACAATCGAATCAGGCCATGGCCACTTAGTTAACGGCCATGCGTCCAAAATGGAACCGTCCCCATTTCTTCCAGATGCGCTGGAATATTTGAGTCGCCATGATTATCTTTACAACCAGAGGTGTCACTAACAGTCTGATTTTAAAACTGGGAGACCAGAGTGGATACGCAAGGTGTGTGGCTGTGGACAAGGTCCGCCGCTTGCGCCTATGGCTGCTGAGGAAACTACAAGGTTTGGGCCGCTGCAAAAATGTTCCTTTGAATATATTTTAAATCGTTAAGAAAAAAGATAATGTTTTGTATTTTTGTTCCACGTGATTGGAATGACAAATTTTAAGTATCTGCAAATAGGGTAATTGTGAAGCATTAAGCATTTACTGGTGAAAAATGTATATATTCCCATTCCAGGAAATACGTGAGTAAAACTGAATAAATGCTTTCAAGTTTACCATATCGCCAGTGGTTTCACAACCGTTGTCCTGTATTTATTTAAGTCCAATAAAAAGGAGGAAGACTATGTTTTCAGTGGTTTTAGGAACCTGTGTAACGTGTACCTACATGCATCTGTCCCTGTCTTCCCGGACCAAAGGGTGGGAGAGGGAGAACAGTATGTATGAGAGGAACTTACGGAGCCAGCGAGGGAAGATGGCAGGCGATGCACAAGTTCGCTAAGGTTGTCATTGTCTGTCCCATCTTTCTCATCATTACATACAAGTTGGGTGGGAGAGTGAGAAAATGTAAGAAATTGAGTATTGAACACAGCCTCTTCCAAGAGTGAAAGGCTACTGGGAGCAGACACGTCCCTCTAACTGGGACGCTGTGTCGGGTGTGGGAAGGTCCCTGAACAGTGTAACCGAGCACACACCCTCCCTGGGCGTGCGACCTCTGGTGACCCCGCCGGCCGGTGCCCATGAGAACAGCTGTCCTCACAGAGTCGGACCCGCAGGGACATGCTCTGAGTCTACCAACTCCTCTCCACTGGTAACATCTGACTTTTTTCTGGTCTCCGTCAGAGCCAGGTGAGAGGTGTGGTTTGCATGTGCATGGTGCCCCTTGTGTCAGACGACCAGACCACAGCCTCTCCTGGGGGACCTGTCCTCACTGCGTTCATGGGTGGGAGAATGACAAGCAGCGGTTCCTCATGTGTGAGGTGTGAGACGGCGCGGGAAGGGGCGTGCAGCCCGCCTCCCATGTCACTCACGGTTTGCGGTGCCGGCTACAGCTGGGTGTCGGTGAAGGTGGTGTGCTCCTTGGTCACGGAGCTGAAGCCCTTGATGGCGTCCATCAGGTCCTCCTCGTCCAGGTACTGGAAAGGAAGCCATCGCGTTAGGCCCCCAGCAGCACGTCTCGTTTCTCTCGGGCTAACCCCCCTACGCTCCACACTCAAACCTTAAACTCACGGAAGCATCACGTCACTCGCACAGGCGAACTACACACGAAGCCAACATGTGCATCATGGACGCTCCCATTGTGCCAAACTTAACATCTTTCTAATTTCTAAGCCTTAAGTTTTCTGGTCTGCAAAGCGGAAACAGTATACAAAAATGGGGTGGGCAGTAAGAAAGTGTTAAAAATGGAGTACTTACACAGCCTTTACATAGAAATACACTCAAGATTTAGTTCAAAATGCAAGTGGGACAGCTGGCATGCAAGTTCTATGCCCGTGCTCCCCACTCACTGCCTCTGTGTGTACTGAGTAGGTTCAGGAATATCAATCCTGAGGAAAGTGCGCCACCTACTGGCATCTTCAGAGCAGTCACAGCATGCCCCCTGCTCCTAGCTCTGTGGACAGTCCCTTCTACCATGTATGTCTCTCACTTTATTTTTTGAGCCCTACTGTGTGCTAACAAGACAAGACACCTTTCTACCCTGCTTGTCAGTCATAGCGACACCAGGAAGCTGTGGGTGAAGGGGCGGAGGGGTGCCCTGTGCCCGGTGAGGGAGAAGGCAGCCTTCAGCAGGTGCGGGAGGCCCACCCCCTGGTGACGGTCACCCTGCTGGGGAGCTGAGCGGGGAGCTGAGCGCAGGCTGCAGGGGGGGAGTGGGGGGAGGTACTCACCAGGCCGCTGTCGTGGCCCATGATGGTCTCCCACAGCGCGTCGTCCACCAGGACCTGCTTGTCGTGCAGGGCCAGCAGCTGGCTGACGCTGCGGTGCAGGGAGGCCTGGGAGGCCTGGCTGAGCTGGCTCTGGCTCGGGATGCGCAGGACGGAGATGCTGTGGTTGCTCCGGAGGCTCAGGCGGGCCCCGGACGGTGGGATCTTAGTGTCGGCCAGGCCCTGCGGAGGAAGTGGCCGCCGTGACCAAGGGGATGCCCCGAGCAGCCCGGTGAGCAGTGCCCTCCCGCGGCCTGTGCAGGGAGCCCGTTTGTCCTGCCCTTGAGAACGTGTGCATCTTCTTGGCCCGGCCAGTGTGGCTCAGTGGATAGAGCGTCGGGCTGCGGACTTCCAAGGGTTCTGGGTTAGATTCCGGTCAAGGGCACGTCCCTCAGGTGCAGGCTCCGCCCCAGCCCGGGCCTTGGTCAGGGCCCCTGCAGGAGGCAACCGATTGATGTGTTTCTCTCACATCAGCGTTTCTCTCCGTCTCCTCCTCCCTTTTACACTCTCCCAAAAAGTCAATGAAAAAATACCTTTGGATGAGGATTAAAAAAAATAAATAAAAGGTGGATTGGACTTCCCCCTCCCTATTTTCTCATCCCGTGTCTTTCCCCTTGTTATAGGGTCCAGCCTCCGAAATAAAACAGGTCTGGTACCCATATCAGAAACACAAAGGCACCCTAAGGCCTGGACCCTGATTAGGCCCGAGCCTGCGCCGAGAGCCAAGTCCCGCTGCTCTTAAACATGGGCGGGCTCTGCGCTACCCTCATTGACACGCCACCCAGAGGCCATGCACCCCACAGCACCCGGGGGGCGCTACCTCGAAGTGCATGGTGTAGCTCTTGAGGGTGACATTGCTGGTTGCGTCCGACACATCAGCCACGGAGTCAAACTGGGGACAGACGGGAGGTGGGGGTCAGCGCTGGTGACACCTCAAAGCACATTCAAGTGCATTTTCCAGTGACAGCGTCGCATGCTCACGCTCCAACCCCATCCTGAGACACGCATGTACCAGTACATACATCTGCACACGGCTGCATCCCGCACCGGCCCCCAGGCGCCCTGCCCTTCCATGTCCCCGACACGCCTGCTCCTCGGCACCGCAGCCTGGTCAGGGGCCCCCGTGCTCCCTGCTGTGTCCCCGGGGAAAGGAGGCCTGGGAGGCGGATAAGGCTCCCGTGCACGCATTTCCACCTTTTAAGGTGGAAACTCGCCCCAGCCGGTGTGGCTCAGTGGATAGAGCATCGGCCCAAGGACTGAAGGGTCCCGAGTTCGATTCAGATCAGGGGCATGGACCTCGATTGTAGGCTTCATCCCTGTGTGGGAGGCAACCCATCAATGTGTCTCTCTCACATCAATGTTTCTCTCTCCTCCTCTCTCTCTAAAAATCAGTGGAAGAACTATCCCCAGGTGAGGATGAAACGACAAAAAGAAAGCCCGGAGGTGGGCTCCCAGCCCTCGCTGCGTCCCGTCAGACACAGCCCCCGCCCAGTCCCGGGGACGAGGACTCTGCCCGGTGCTGGGGAGCAGGCGGCCTCCAGACGAACCATGTGGGTCTCCCCCGGCGGGTAGACGCTCAGCGGGGACGTCCGCTTCTGCACGGGCACCAGCGGCGGCCGCTCGCGGATGAAGGGCTCCTGGTGGATCTTCCGCTGCAGGACCAGCGACAGGAAGATGGCCAGCAGGATCAGGCCCAGCAGGGCCATCAGCACGATGAACCACAGCTCGCCGTAGAACTCCGTGCCTCTGCTCCCCGGCCCCTTCTTCCCTCCGGGCGTGGTCAGCTCCAGGCCTGCAGGACCCGGGGGAGGAGGGAGAGGAGGGAGAGAAGAGAAGAGAGAAGAGAGAGGAGGAGGGGGAGAAAGGAGAGGAGGGAGAGGAGAGAGAAGAGGAGGAACAGGAAGAAGAGGGAGGAGGAGGGACAGGAGAGAGAGGAGGGAGAGATGGAGAGACAGGAGGGAGAGGAGAGAGAGGAGGGAGAGATGGAGAGATGGAGAGATGGAGAGACAGGAGTGAGAGGAGAGAGAGGAGAAGGGACAGGAGGGAGAGGAGGAGGAATAGGAGGGACAGGAGGGAGAGGAGGAGGGACAGGAGGGACAGGAGGGAGAGGAGAAGGGACAGGAGGGAGAGGAGGAGGGACAGGAGGGAGAGGAGGGAGAGGAGAAGGGACAGGAGGGAGAGGAGGAGGGACAAGAGGATCAGGAGGGAGAGGAGGAGGGACAGGAGGGTCAGGAGGGAGAGAAGGGACAGGAGGGAGAGGAGGAGGGACAGGAGGGACAGGAGGAGGGACAGGAGGGACAGGAGGGAGAGGAGGAGGGACAGGAGAGAGAGGAGAGAGGTCATTCCGGGGCAGGTCTGCCCCCTCCCGCCGTGCTGGGCAGTACATGGGGAGGGAGTTTGCAGGGATGTGTCCCAGTGACCTGGAGTCCACTTCTGACAGCCCCGTGGTGACCAGTCCCTGTGCCTCAGGGGCTCCCCTCCCGCACGTCTAAGATGAAGAGTTGGGGTCACAGCGCAGGCCAGAAGCCCCCTAACTAGGAACCAGTGTGTGCTGTTTGATTGCAATGAAAGCACCACCTGGCTGTGCCCTCGGAGAGAGGGTGGCCTGTCTGCGTGGTGCAGGCCGTGGCTCCAGAAGTGGATCTGACAGGCCCAGTGGACTGCTGGCCTGAGAGGACCCGGGGTGCAGGGCGGCTGCCGGAGGGAAGCCTCGGAAAGGAAAGGGGGGAGGTGAGCCGGCCTGTCCCTCCTGCTGGAAGGCTGCCTCTGGGCAGGAGCATGGCTGCAGGAACACGCTGTGTCACAGAAATGAGAGCTGACTGCTCCCGCTGGCGGGACGATGCATCTCGGAGTGTCCTGTGACTGCACAGTCCTCGGAGCTCCTCTTCCCATGAGCGGAAACCTTTCTTTTCCAAGTCCCTGTCACTTGGAGGGACTCGGCCCCTCAGTGGGCTGCACTCAGTTTGGGGACCTGGTCCACTGGGATGGGCTTGTGTACAAGAGCAGGTGCCTGGCCCAGCCGGTGTGGCCCAGTGGTTGAGTGCTGATCCATGAACCAGGAGGTCACGGTTCCATTCCTGGTCAAGGGCACAGGCCCGGGTTGCGGGCTCCATTCCCAGTGGGGGGCGTGCAGGAGGCAGCTGATCCCTGATTCTCTCCCATCACTGATGTTTCTCTCTCTCCCTTCCTTTCTCTGAAATCAGTAAAAGTATATATATTAAAAAACAAATAGGAGATGTTCCAGAAAGGTGCAGTTCTCTCTCTCCGGCTGCATTAGCTGGCACTGATGGCCGATCGCCACCTTTCACAGAGGACACAGGACAGACAATTCCCCCGACCACCGTGCAGGATCTGGAACATGGCCTCTGCCACCAACATGAGTGACCAACACCAAGGGGGCGCTTTTATTGCAAAAGCGGGGC